AAACCGTGGGCCCTGGGGACTGAGGCAGCCTTGATCCCTAAGGGTCAGTGGGGGTGTGAAACTTCTGGACTCTGGGAATTATGGCTGCTGCAATTCCTAGGGCTCCAGGATGCAAGAAATCCCTGGGGATGGAAGATTGCCAAAGTGGTGACCCCCACATCAGAGGTGTGGGAAGCAAAGGGAAAACTTGGAGGAGCTCCTCAACTGGGGTGAATGGGGCTCCCAGCCATGGGAGCTTGCTTCGGTGCAGGGGGAGCCTGGGTCCCTTTGCACCAGCAGTACGGTGCAATGGGATCTAATGTGCAAACCCACAATCATACCTCCTGCCATGCACATGGGGCATGGCAGTAGGAGCTATTGTGGAGATCATGCATTAGATCGCATCATGCCTTTACCTGCACATGTAGAGGGAGACTTATATGCTCATTTTAGTGACAAAAGTAGTAGTAGTTTTTGTACTGTTGATGCCTGTTTGCAGTACAGATTTATTACATTTGAGAGGAGGGGCTAGATTCTTCTTGGTTTGCACACCATCAGCAGAATTTGTTAACAGCACTTCAGCTGCAGAATCTACGGTAAGCTTGCAGGAGCAAAATAAGTTTTCTGTGCTTGTGCTGTTGGCAGATAGAAAAAAAGAAAATATATTTCTCCTTGTAAAATGAGCTGGTTTCCCCTGGGTATCCCACACTACACTCTTTAGAGTTGCAGTTATAAGTGATTATCATGTTTGTATTATAATGTCATTGCCAGAGGTCTTCATGTATGGAAATTTCCATGACATTCTAGAGCCTCTTTTTCAAAGTACTGTATAACCATTCCTGTGGCCATCAGTACACAGTCATTTTATAAAAGATGTTGCCATAGTAAATGATGTATCAAAATTTCAATTATAAATGCATTTTAGTCATCTTTCATTTATAACACTTTTCACTATCTTTCATAACTAACTCATCCAGCTTCAAATCCCATCTCAGTAACTACTTACATGTGATGCCTTCAGGAAATTGTCAATTGCTAATGGCTAGCAAGGTGGTTAGTTGAGGCCATTGCTATCTATTTGATTTATACCGTATAAAAGAATTGCTCTAAGCCACATCACTCTACACATCTTATCTAACTGTTCCTTCAAATACTGGTTTATTGATAATTGCATAATTTAAATCACCTTTGATTTAAAAATAAAAATGTAACCAGCTATATTACCGTGAAGATTAAGCACTTTTCATTTAATAAACAGAAATCAGTGATCTAAGATGGAATCTACTATCACACCATAACATTTTTATGTGGATTTTAAATATATTCAGTACTATGCATCCATAATACTGGAAGGTGCCATTATTAATATGCACTGGAGTTCATGTAGGTCATGCAAGAAGGAAAAGTCAGCTAAATTATAATGGGCTCATTGGCTTGGCTGTTACACAGCCAGCAGATGGTATAACAACTAATTTGAAGATTTTTTCAGATGAGAGTAAATCAAGTCCTGATATTTGATATAAAACCAAATGTGCAGACAGTGGTCCTCCTTAGTCTACAGCTTTACCCCCTTCAAGGCTAAACCTCAAACATATAGGAAGCACTACACAAACACCGCACAAGACAGGAACAGAGGAGTAATGCACTTAAAGAAGCTATTTATAGAGAAAACCTGGACAAACGCCATTCAATTGTCCTTATACTTTGGTGGAAAATGCACTCTGTTCTACCAAGTAAGCAGATGCAGATGTTACTCTACCTAGAAGTACAGGCTGGGCTCCCAAGAATTTATTTCTAGGAAATTGCTTTTAATGAAGAAATTATCTCAAAAGCAGAAAAATAAGAGGGAAGTGAAAAGCTAGGATGTCAGCAAACCATCTACAGGCAGAGATCTCTGCTGTAATGCAGACTGTAATGCCTCTGCTGCTTGGCCATACACACACTGCATTGCCCAGTTTAGTTTTCAGACATTACATTGTTGTATAAAGTTCAGCATTTTCATTTATCTACACTGTATACTGTAGTGCAGTGCAGCAGTGTCTAAACTGGCCTGAAACAAGCTGGCTTGGATACTGGAAATAATTTGGCCACAGTGGCAAGGACCCAGTGTGGGCTAATTTTCCCTGCCTAAATGATACCAGGTACAGGTACCTGAGCTTGCTCATTTAAAATTAGGTTGGATATTGCAAAAATACACTACAGTCTGCATGGTAGATGGATATTATTTAGCTACCTTTATAGCGCAGTCCCTTCTACACCTGTTCTACTCCATAGGTAGAGTCCCCTTTACTTCTGGTAGAGGGTCTTGCCCCATAAGCAATTTCCACTTTGCTGATATCCTAAATGAATTTCATAAGATTTTCATATTTAATTTTCAAATATTCCAGACTTTGGTACATAATATGACAAGGTTTGAGTAAACCTTCCAAAGCTGGTAACACTAACGCATTTAGGAGTTTGGAATAAGTGATGGTGCTATCCCAGAAAAAGGGGCCTTAGCCTTCATTTGTGGTGGGATTATATTTTAAATTCTACAGTGGTTCATGTATTAGGTAACAAAAAATGTTTACTTAGAGGAAAAACATAAGACTGTCATGTTGTTGATGAGGATAATAACAACCTCCAGCTCATAGTGAGGACAATCACTGGCATTCAATAGGGAGTCTATCCATTTCTATTCAAACATGGTGTCCACATGAATATAAGATAAGGGCATGGAACTAGTGTCTAATTTTCACTGTAGCAAGCAGGGAAGTATAGCAGTGGGACACTCTGAAGGAGCTCACACTTTTCTATGCTTGCTTTGTGAGGATTTCCTTCTCCACAGTTGTCAGTTGGGCCCCTTTCATTACCTATGAATTAAATCAACATTTTAATCTTTTAAACAGGAGAAACAAATCATGAGAAGATAAATTCTAAGGATCCCCTTAATCCATAAGGCCAAATGACTGCCAAAAGGCTGTGTCCTTGTTAAAATAACTTCATACTGCAGATTACTTCAGAATACCCTATGCAGTCTGAACATAAATCTAGGTGCTTAAAGTGCCCCCCTCTTGCCTTGTCTATAAACACCCTTGCTTTATCAAGTCTGCTCCAATGTGCTGTAATTACAGGCTGCTCCTGTCTGTTCCTCCCTGCACGTGTATAGGAGCCCTTAGATAGCTAAGCAGTCAGCAAGCTGCAAGCAACAAGTTCCATTTATTTATAGCTCTTTTCAGCTCTCCTCAAGGTTGAAACAAGAAATGGAGAAGGGAAAATTTCTGTCACATTGTCAACCATGCTATTTTGAAGCTTGGTTTCCAGATTAACAATGAAATGGACCCTGGGGTTGCATTTCCTTCTACTCTTATGCAACATATCATTAAATAATAGCATTTGCTCTGTCTGCACTTGAGTACATATTCTTCACTTATAATTTAATTAATGCACCGGGGAGGAAGATCTTTGGGTTAGGATATTGGTCTACAAGACAGGTGATCTGGGTTATATTCAGAATGCTGCCATAGGCTTCCTGTGCAGTTTGTTCTAATCTAGTTTCCTAATACGTAAAATTAAGATGATAATATTTCCTTTCCTTACCAGGGTGTTGTGAAAATTCATTAAGTCAGGTTTATAAAGTGCTTTGTGCTGCTTGCTTTGAATTGAGATCCTTAGTAAAATACCTCAAAAGCAGAAATTAGAAAACTGAACTAGTATTGTTACTTGCCCTGATTGCTGGCTACAATTTGATGGAGATTTTCATTTCCAACTTGTGTGTGACTGTTGGAACCTGCCTGTATTTAGGTGCAGGGAGGAAGGTGCCTTGATATTTTGTTTGTTTTTCTTTTTTTGGTGCATTTTCATCTCACTTAATCAAACTAAGAGGAGGGGGAGAGGTTTGGTTTTAGCATGCGACTGGAAGGCAAGGATTCCAGAATCCTAATTTCAGGTCTGTTACCCAGATAACACTTTGTTCTTTTCCCCCACCTGTAAAAGAGAGTTATGCCTACCTTACTGAGTGTTTAGAAAGCATAACATGATCATCATTTTACACACTGTAATAATTCTGATAATATCTCAGTGGGTACATCTACACGAGATACTACTGTGCCGTCATTACTGCACATTTTTTTAGTACTTGCTAATACAATTAACAGGTACTTGCTAATACAAGTACTAAATAAATGCACAGTAACCAGAGTTACAGCACAGTAGTGCCAAAGAACATCTTTTACATGATGCTACTGCACAGTAGCTTAATAATACTGCACAGTAGCATATTAGCACTGTCTGTGCTGCGACACACTACTGTGCAGTATTTTTCAGTTTCCGCACAGTCAGCATCTCATGTAGTCATGCCCAGTATGTCTTTGTGTAACAAAGCTGCTTTTTGTGGCTAAACTCTGCCAGACAAACCTCACAGGAAACTCATAGTTCTAATATTGTATGAAATGCAAAGCAGTTGCTGAATTTGGCAATGTACGAGCTATACGGTAGTGTTAAAACCGTAAACAAAAAGCTGTAAATGTTCAGAATTGCCAAAGAGTCAGCAGTGCAACTCCCAGGAAAGTTACTAGGAGTTACATGATTAAATCTTTGTGAAAAATATTACTTAATCTGAGGTCTGTTCTCTCTCAAATGTACAGTATGGCTTATTGATTCATGCCAAAGGAAGTTATCTATGAGACATGAGATAAGAACATCTCTCTAAGTTGTTTTTTTTTTAAAGGAAAGCAAAGTTATTATGAAAATACATTGTTCACAAGTGCACCATTTCTAAGAAGTTGGTAATTCACTAAAATATTATTCACTAACAAATTAAAGGTTTACCTGGAAATAGTAAGGTACAATTGATGTTTAATAGCAATTTATGATTTAAAATGGATAAGGTAACAGCAAACTTACCAGACGTAGAAGCAGTTCATTCACTGCTGTGCAATATTTGTCAGATATGCAGGGTACAGGGAAAAGCAACACGTCCTCTTACAAACACTTTCTGTCATTAAATTAGTAGAAAGGGAAGGAAAATAGTTGACACTTACTATCAATACAAAAGTTCCCAGGAACTCTGAGAGTGCTTCTTTAATCAGGCTGTTCTTCAAGGCAAATTTTTCCTTGAAACTTCTTTTGCCTTTCTTGCTCATTTTTGGGTCTTCCTGTTACACTCTAACCCCAGCAGACAGTGACACGCACACTTAATTTGCTTTGTAATCGTCCCTGCTGCAGCTGAACTTTAACACTTTTACTTATACTTTGAAATATGAGATTTTGACATCTGTACAGCCAGTGAAATCATCTGACTGCAGGCATTGACTGAGCCCAATGAATATGACCTAATGATTCATCATGAGCTTTCTATCCTTTGCCTTCTCGGAGTGTGTAGCTATTTATATTGGGTATTATCTAGGCTGCATGCCTAGATAATACCAGTAACCTCAAAGTCAGAAAAAGCTAACGAACTTTTTTTTTCCTTCTAATGCCTGGCAAAATGGATTAATCAATGGCTTTCACCCAAGATTCCTTTTCTCCAAGGTAAATTATTATGAATTTTTGCCACCCAAAGGCAAGAGATTATATGAACTGCCATATATGGAACCACAGTATTTGGCTTTGATCCAGGCTAGGACTTAAAACACGCACGCCTTCATTGGCTGTTTGCAATTTTTTCCATAGGAGATGTTGGGCAAAACGAGTGGGTACTTGCCAGAGAGATGTGCTCTATCCTAGTAAAACAAAATATACACCCTGCACAGTTCAGAGAGATTTCAGTGTCTAGTAGGAATGTGTATTAGAAATTAACTGCATTTGTATAGCCAGAGACTGACTCGCACCACACTTTTGGGATTAACTGCCTAACTTTCTACTGACTCATCTTGTTTACAACAGAGCAATGAGGCAGAAGAAATTAGGACTTTAAATTAAATCTGCTTCAGTCCAGTGAAGCAATGAAAATGATCATATGCCTCTAGTATGTTTAGCTAAGTTATAGATCCTGTGCTTAAGTAAAACTGACTAGGAACTCCATCCTGCAAGGTGTCCAAGATGCCATTTCCTATTGATTGGAACAGGAGGCTGTAAGTACGAAGGATTTCAATGCCAGGTATCAGCGTTACACTTAGACTGGTATAACTGATTGGAAATAGATCCAAACCCGTAACAGTTTGGTGCACATAGAGTGGTCTAAAAATGGTGGAACCTGACCTAAGATGGACCTGGATCAATGTGCACTCAAATCAGATTAATCTAGGTTAGACAGGTGAACTGAACTTCTGTAGTGGTTCCCCTATTAATTCAATAGACCACAGTCCTCCAGCATCCCAGCCTCCTTTGCAGCCCTCCGCTAATCCTCCCTTGCCAGGAGGCATGCCAACACTTGGCCTGTATTCAGCTGCTCCAGCCAAATGCCTAGTGGGCCCCACCCCTCAACTCTCCCAAAACTGAGCCAGCACAGCCCCTCTCCCCAGCCCTGCTTCCTGCCTCTGGCCATCTGTCAGGAGCAGGCAGACAGCAGACAGAAGAGAGACATCTGTGTCCCCTGCATGAACCCCAGCCCTTGGACACGCATTTCCCTGGGTAGTGCCCCTGCACCCCATCACAAAGCACCTTACAATGTACACATAGACCTGACAGCAAGCCTAGGAGAACCCCTGTGTGTGGGCACAGCTCCACAGATGCTGACCTTGGCTACTGCACACCCAGTTAAGGACACCCATGCTCAGCCATAGCCCCAAGGACCCTGACCCTGGCTCCTGCATACCCAGCCAGGGACTCCCATGTCCCCCCACCCCCTACAATGGCTCCTGCACACCATATCTCAGAGGCCAGATTCAGGTACCCTGACACCCAGACCCCAGCATGGACCTTCCCTCCCCACAAGCAGGAGCCAGTGTAGGCAGCTTGCCTCTGGTGGGCCAGGGTGGCAGGGGACAGAACATTGGGACTAGGCCTGTAACCTCTATGGCTTGGCCATTGCCAGCAGATACCTGGGCTATGGGCACCTAGCATGCTGCAAGACTTTTTTGGCTTACAGCTACAGGATTCCTGAGTATTGGGGCAGGGATGGGAAGGGAAACTGAGCATCCATGCTGGGGGAAGCAGGTGGATGCTCCTGGAAACTTCAGAAGGTGGTTGGATATGGTCAGTTGCCTCCATATTGCAGGTAGAGAATGCTGGAAATTTCCAACCAGGGCATAGGGCATTGTTAGAACCCACCCATGGATGCTGAGACACCATGAGCACTGCTGTGGACCATGGAAGACCCCATCCCATCCTTCTCTGCTACCCAACCCTGGTTACACAACTGGGACTATGGGGAGATGAGGGACCTCGTTGCCATCTGGGGCAAGGAGGAGATCTAGCACCAGTTCCAGAAAGGGCATCAGGACAGAGATGTCTTCAAGTGCATTGCCCAGCAGATGCAGGCATGTCGCCTCAAAAGGGGCCATGCCAAGATTAAGTGGATGCAGATCCAATATAAGTGCATGCAAGATGCCAATGAAAGGCCTGGGGCCTATAGGCAAATCACACCCTTCTATGAGGAGCTGTCCCACTTCCTCACCAAGGACAGGGGTGTTGAGACCCTGTATGCCTACAGCACCACTGGGGTGTGGGAGGAATCACTGGCAACTGACTGCCCAGACATTGACAACTGAGTGCCCAGGAGCAAGTCCCCAGGGGCCACAGGGTAACAGGTCAGCTGCTGGAGCCAGCCCATGAGGAGTCCACCCTGTTGGTGATAGTCTCCACATCATCACAGGATGTGGAAGCCAAGGTGCACTTGCAGCTGGACCTGAGCTCCCTTGACATCTCACGCGTGGTTGGGGGCAAGGAGCACAGTGCACAGGAGTGGGAGGAAAGCTCTGATGCCATAGAAACTGCAACCCAGGACCTGCAGGCTGAGCCTGTGCGTTCCACCTCACCCCAGTCCTCAACCCCACAGACCATGGCCAAGCACGTGAGCCCTGGGACACCATTCTCCTCACAGCTGCCACAGGTGTTCCTCTCCCATCCCAATCACCCCTTCTCCTCCCCTTCCCCTTCTTCCCTTCCATCCTGGAGTTCAGCCAAGGAGCCAGGCCCTCTCCACCCACTTCCCCTGACCTTGGGCACTTAGCAGCCCATCTCTCAGTCTATGGCAACATTAATCTGCCTCATTCACACCTCACTGCCCAGCTCCTGTGAGAAGTGGAGTCTTCTTCCAGCTGGCTAAAGCAGTGGTGCTGAAACAGCAGGCCCACCCCCTGCACTCTCAGAAAGGCACTACAAGTGTTTATTGATCTTTGCAGGCACAGCAAAAACAGGTACAGATGTGAGTGCTCTGGGGGGGTATAGTGCCGCACCTTTCCTGCTTGGCAAGGACCCCACCGGAGGTTGGCAGCAGCATGGATCCCAGTGACAGAGGGTACACTGAGGTCAGGGACAGGAGATAACATGCAGCTATCTATGAGAACCGCTACAGTTACATTACAGCAGAAATGATAAAAATTCCCCCTTGAATGATAAAAATTCCCCCTTGCCAAACAAGCCCTCTCCCTCCCTCCCTTCCATTCCAAGAAAGTCACAGATGTGATAGCAGGAGTCCTTGATGGGAACTGTTATCTTAGCCAATCTTGTCCTGCTGCCAGGGTGACTCCCAAGTTGTACACATGAAGAGACTTGCAAGTGGCACTCCAGTACCTTCCCTGCTCCCCTCTGATTCAGTCCCTGGATGGAAAATCCATTGGGTGGCAGGTGACTCTGAGTCTCACAGCACAGGCAGTTACTATATGAGCCCCTCAAGGCAACACCCCTCCTGCAATTGTGACCCCATCCTGGTCCCAGACAGCTCCCAGCAACTCCTGAAAGCAGTATTCTGCACCTTCAGAGAAATAATCATAAATTCTAATACAAAATGGGTAACACCTGGCTGCATGGCAGCACTATGGAGAAGGATCTGGGTAGATCACAGATTCAATATGAGTCTGTAGTGTGATGCCACACAAAAGGCGAATAGAGTTTTAGATGCATCAATAGAAGCATTGGGCATTTTTACGCATACCTTTTCATCCCGTGACGCGCCAGAGATCCGGTGGGTCAGAGAAGACTTGATTAACTGAGTCTGCTCCTCACACAAGCTGATGTGCACTGCATTGCATCGCATGCAGTTGTATAAGCAGATAAATGTGCATCAGTGCACAGAAAATGGCGGTGATGTGCTTTTGAACTAAAACACCTCCTATGTGTAAGTTCAAAAGCTCACTGCCACCATTTTCTCAGTGCTGATGAATATTTCGCCACTTATACAACTATGCGCCACAGTGCTACACGCTTTTAAAAGCACCCAGTGCTGCAGTGTAAGCATGTAAGCAAATGCCCATTAGGTACAAAACACAGGGGTGATAGTGCCTCCCTACTCAGTGCTAGTTAGGCCTCATCTAGAGTATTGTGTGCAGTTTTAGGCTCCATATTTTAAAAGGGACATAGAGAACTTAAATAGGGTCTAGAGGTGGATGACAAAAATGATTAAGGGCCTAGAAGGCAAGTCATATAAGGAACAGTTGAAGGAACTAGGCATGTTTAGCTTATGGAAAATATGCTTAAGAGGGGACATGACAGAAGCCTTGAAATACCTGAAGGGCTGCTATAAAGAGAAGGGGAAAACACCTTTTCTCAATTTCTGCAGTAGGACGGACCAGTGGCTTGAAGTTGCAGCAAAGTAGGTTGAGACAATATCAAGAACAGTTCTTCACTGTTAGAACAGCGAGGCAGCGAAAGAGAGTGCCTAGGGAAGCTGTTGAATCTCCATCATTGGAGGTGTTCAAGAGGAGGCTGGCCACAGACTGGTCAGGGATGATCTAGGCATAATTATGCCTATGTTCTAGGGGTATTCCCCATGCTTCTGGGCTTTGCTGGTTGCTGCATGGATCAAGAGGGGATTCTTTCCCCTCCTGCTGCTTCATACGTCTGGGCTTGGTTTTTTTTATTGTTTTTTTAAAAACAATTAAAAAAAATGTGGGCTGAATCCGAATTTCTCAGAAGCATTGGATATTGGCTGCAGCTAAGCGTCTGAATTTTGACTGGGGGTGTGCTAATTAGGGCTGTGCAAAGCTTTGGTCCCTGATTCAATTTGGTAGAGATTCAGCCCAATTCAGTGGCCAAAAGGACCCTTTAATCTCTCCGAATTGATTTGGAGAGATTTAGAAAGATTTGGTAATTCTAATATAGATACAGCTTTAAATGTTTTTTCTACATGCCTCAAGGTACCAGGTGGCTCGTGAATGCTGCAATGCTGGGGTGGATGGAGAGTCCCACAGGAGTGCGGGGGGCTCCCCAGCGCGCTCAGCAGCAGACCTGGAAGTGGACCAGAAGCACTTCCAGTCCACTTCCGGGTC